CCTAGTGCCTTCCTCTTACATCAGCTATTTGTCCTACTGTGCTGACAACACTTCCCCACGCAGACTTGTCTGAGAGAAGCAGAAACCACCTTGCCCAGAGACCCCAGCTCAGCTCCAGCACACCCTGGAGAGCAGAAGGAAAGGCAAGCACCGGGACTGGACTCAGGGGCCGCCCTCCCAATGCCCCCCCCAACCGAGCCCACCCACTGGCACCGCTGCTCCCTGCTCCCAACGCTGCTCCTGCTTCTCCACCTCTCCGGTGAGTGGGACCTGGGACAGGACAGAATCCACCCTGCTGGCCCCAGAGGGCCGGCACCCCCCAGCCACACCCTCAGGATGAGGTGAGAGGGGGGCTGAGAGCACTTCTGACGTTGAGGTCCCAAGAGACAGGCCTTCTTGAGCAATGTCGTGCAGTTTAGCTTCTGGGCTCCCAGGGCCTGGGTTCTGGTTCCGTGTGGTCGCGGCTGAGGCCTCACTCTCCAGGGTGCTGACAGGACTTTGTCTAGCTGTGCTGTATCATCTATAAAAGAGGCAAGGCTCAGCCCAGGGCCGGCTGCGTAATCTGCAGGGTCCTGTGCAAAGTGAAAACACAGGTTCTTTTTTTTTTTAAAACGTTGAAGGAGTTTAAAGCAGCTACAGCAGAGAATTGAAGCCAGCATGAGAGTCCGCTTAGCACAGCCCTGGGAGAAGGTGCCTATCACACACCCACGAGCCAATGTTGGCTCAGCCCGAGAGAGAGCGCAAACTGCAACACCCCATCACTTTAAGTATCGCCTCCTGTACCCCAGTTCTGTATGCATAAATAAATAAATCTTTAAAAAAAAAAAGAAATAGCCAAGTAAGGAACCCATGCCAATGAGTGGATAATTCAGAAGTTTCCTGTGAGCGTGGCATGGAGGTACCAAATATCTGGAGGAATTTTCTAGGCAGATGGACAGTTCAGAGAGGCTCTGGTCTGTGGTCTCCCCACAGAAGAACAAGTAAAGGGAGCAGCGGGATCTTGCAGCACTTCCAGCAAGGTCCAGAGGGCCAGACAGGAACAGTCCTTCTTCAGCAGACCCAAGGCTAAGTGCTAAGAGACCAAATCATACAATATCCTCGTGGCAGACCAGAGCATGTGACCGCCCTCCTGCCCTGGGAGAAATGTCAGCTTCCTCTGTCCCCACAAACTCAACTTCCTACTCCAGGACCGTATAGAGCAAGGACAAGGGGAATCTTGAACACCTGGCATTGAATCGCTTTTTCCTAGAAAAGACTGTGTTGACCTAAACGAGAAAGGCGTTTTTTCATACAGAGCTCAGCTCACCCCTGCGTGCAGCTGTATTTGTATAACTATTTTACAGATCAGAAAACCGAAGCACAGCGCGCTCAAATGATTGCCCTAAGACACAATCAGAAACAGATAAAGCCAACACTGAACCCAACAGACACAGCTCAAGGGGCCATCAGAACCCAGGGGAGACTTAAGCTTAAGTTTTCTTCTCCACAAATCTCTGCATTTCCTGAAGAATGTGGATAATTTGCAGGACTCCTATGCTCAGCACCCTCACGAAGCCCTCACACCCGCGCTCAGAAATGTGTGTGATTACCACTGGGGGGGGGGGGTATATTTTACTGTCCCTGTTTTGCCTATGAGGAAACAAAGCTTAGTCAGGGCCAGTGGCTCTGAGAGGTCACCCAGCTAGGAAGAAGCAGACTCGATACTCATCCAACATCCAGCTACTCTCAGACATATGGTGACAGCCCTCATCTGTCCTCCAGAGCCTGAAAACACCATCTGGCCTGTGGAAGGAGTCATTAAGAGTTTGGGGGGAGGGGGGGGCGGTGGTGTAGGGGTTAAGTCTCAGAGCTATCAGCTATCACTGCTATGGCCTGAGTTCAATTTCCCACCAGGGAGCAGCAGACCTCTCCTGTCTCGCCTGCTGCTCCCCTCAGTAGTGTATTTCAGTAAATCCACCTGTTCTGCTCCGCACTCTGTGGTAAATCTGCTCACCCTGCGCACCTCTGACCTACACCCCAATTCTACACCAAAACAAATAATTTTTT